AGCTTCATAGTTCCATACTGTGGTCTCTACCTACAATGATGCTGATTTGGAGGGTCAGAATATTTTATTTAAATTCCTCCATAGTGATATTCCACAAATGGACTTTGTGAGTGAGAGAGAGAGAGAGAGAGAATGTGTGTGTGTGTGTGTGTGTGTGTGTGCGCGCGCAAGACAAAAAGAGTCTTAAGCAAAAATTAACAAAGTGGGTTTTTTTCTACCTTTAGAAGGTAAAGAGCAAGAATTTTAAAGTGTAAAATCTACTTTAATATTCAAGATTTGTTTCCCATCTGACAATCCTGATTGTAATTAAGTTTTATGATATATGTTATTTATGTATTTATTTATAGAAATAGGGTCTCACTCTGTCATCCAGGCTGGAGTTCAGTGGTGCAATATCTTACTGAGACCTTGAACTCCTGACCTCAAGCGATCCTCTTGCCATGGCTATTTTATTTTTGAATAAAATATACCTTTTGAAAAATCAATCCTATATTTTTTTCTATATTTATTTATATCTTTTATCCTATATTTATTTTTCTTCTTTTCATAGCTTTTAAAAATAGATAAGAATGCAGCCAAATTAGAATTTCTTCGAGTGTGTTCTCTTTTTGAGCACAAGATTCCTATGTTGTCGCAGAACCATAGAGGTTATAAGAGAGATGTTTAATTATTATGAATCAGAGCAGACTTAAGTAAATCTGCAACTTGAAAAAATAAAAAGGAACGTATAAGCTACACTCTTTTCTATTTTCAGAACTTATGCATAGCTGTTTGAATATATTTTGGTCCCTGTAATTGTTATTCTACTACTATTAATAATATCTTTAACTATATAAAGACTTTTCAAAGCATTATTCCATGTTTTTATTCTTACAAATTGCTAATTGTTAAGATAATTTGTTCTCAATTAAGAACTGAAAAAACCTCTCCCAGATAATACTGTTATACACTGAAATGAAATCTTAAAAAAAAAAGTTCTTGGCCGGGCGAAGTGGCTCAAGCCTGTAATTCCAGCACTTTGGGAGGTTGAGGAGAGAGGATTGCCTGAGCTCAGGGGTTTGAGAACAGCCTGGGCAACTTGGTGAGCCCTCGTTTCTACAATAAATAAAAAATAAGCCAGGCATGGTAGTGCATGCTTGTAGTTTCAGTTACTTGGAAGGCTGAGGCAAAAGGATCACTGAGCCCAGTAGGTCAAGGTTGTGGTGGCCATGAGTATGCCACTGCACTCCAGCCTGGGTGACAGAGTGAGACTAAGACTCAAAAAAAAAAAAGTTCTTTAGTTTTACCCTCTGTTGTTAAGATATTGGGAATTTATAGATTTAGCAGCAGTGGTTCTCAGTGAAGCCCTTAAAATTGTTTTTAGCAACCTCCTTTTCTTGTTAGTTTATTCTTATTTAGCAATCTTATTGTTAGCATTCTTATTGTAAATGATTCGACAAAATTGTGAGAGTTTGGTTTGCAGAGAATTTCTATGAACTTCAAGAGAAGAACTACTTCAAAAGAAGTTCTGTGGCTTCAAAAAGAAATATGTGCAGAGAATTTACACATACTGTTTTCATAATTCCAGCAAATGCCATTTATTTTCAGATTAATATCTATGAATGGAAAATGTCTTTCTAGAAATATGAGCACACTTAAGACTAATTTATATCTGAATACACACATTTTTAAAATGTGTATTATATGAAATATGTCATTCTTTATTAAACATACGTACTTATATATATTTACTAAATATTTTACTTTTACTATAAATATATTTACAGCATATACATATATACACATATATTTCAGCATATGTTTTTACAACAAATATATTTTTTCCTGTATATTTCAGAAGTATAATGGTATCTTTTATTTATTTGGAGCATAATTTATCATGTTTTATTTTTTTTCTAAAAAACACATTTTTTTGAGTGGATTACCTGAGCCCGTGGGTTCGAGACCTGCCTGGGCAACTTGGCGAGACCTCATCTCTACAACAAATCAAAAAAATGAGCCGGGTGTGGTAGCGTGCACCTGTAGTTCCAGCTACTTGGAAGGCTGAGGCAGAAGGATCGCCGGAGCCCAGCAGGTCGAGGCTGCGGTGACCAGAAGCGGCCACTGCACTCCAGTCTGGGTGACAGAGTGAGACTCCAACTCAAAAAAAAAAGAAAAAAAAGAAAAAAAAATATTTTTTTGTATGTATCTATTGCCCAGTAGCTAGCTCATCTAGAAAGAATTTAACAGGGGATGACTGTGTGCAGATATAGGTGTTCGGAGAAGTTAACACTGAGGCCAGAGAAGCTAATTTTCTTGCTCCAATTCCATAGTTAATAGGTGGTCATGGTGGGACTTTCTCTTCCATTCTGTCTCCTAGTTCTGTAAGTACAACAATAACTCATGTCCTCATTTGTTTGCAGCCAATCTTTTTCATCTTAAAGATACTCAATATAGTCTACAATTTGATTTTATAAAATTATCTGTAGGCAGGGCATGGTGGCTCACTCCTGTAATCCCAGCACTTGGGAAAGTGGAGGCATTGCACACCAAATACTCGTAAGTCCATTTCCAAGGTCTGTCCCGCCACGCCCTGCTACTTACCATTCCATTTTGGCTAACGCTTTAATATACTACCCCAAGTGTTCCAGTATTTCTTTAACTCATTTGCATACTCATCATTGTACACATGACTTATCCCTTTCTTGTGCCTGCACATAATAGAGCTCCTCCCTCCTTCATAAGAAAATGCTGCTTTTAATCATCAGTAATAAAGTTCTGGGTTAGGAGAAACTAATCCCAGGGAGAAATGACCAGGCAATCCCTGAGGTGAGAGTGGGCTGGGGCCCTAAGAACTCCTCAATGAACTTCCTAGCAAACTAGAGAGGGAAATTGAGTTTTTTACATCTGATTTTGACATCAACCAGGTAAACATCAAGATTCAACAGTACACCACAACCCTTTGGTTGTAAGATTCCTATGGAAGACAGGCTCTGGACACATACATAGAAAGTAGAACCATAGTTAAACAAATTTTCATTAAATTTGAAAAATGCATGATGGGATATGACTGTGCTGGACCCGTGAGTCTTGCAAATTTAGAACTGCTGGATTGTAAACTCCAAAGAAGAAATCATAACGATGTGACTCGACTGCCTGAAGGTGGCCAACATTCAAAGTGTGGAGTTACGTGTCTCAGCAATTATGATGTGACTTGTTTGATTCCAATGAATGGGAATTTTCTGAGTCAAACATGGTCAAAGATTTAGGACTATCAAGCATCACACTAACTCATTTTAAATTACTGTTCTGTTGAAATGTATTTACAATTATGTTACATGTGGGGTGCGTGCTCTCAAATTGACAGATGTGACAGAGAAGTGAGTCATGAAAAGTTAGTGAATGAATATGGCTTATAATGTTAATTGGTATCTGGAATATCACCATATTGTCTTATTTTCCTCACCTCTGAGAACTTGTTTTTATCTTGCTTCTTACATGACAGAACCATTGAATTATTTCCAAACATTTAGTTCTAGAAGATTTATTTTTTCATGTCAGATAAAATAAATTTAGTTAATTATATAATTTGGTGGAAGCCACTAATATATACTTGATAAACTAGATATATAAATTGTTACAATTATTTTATTTTTATGTTTTTCTTTTAAAATACCTGTATACTAATGTCACACAATGAGAAATTAGCTTTATAAGTGGAAATCACAATAAGTACAAAACTGTTAAATTTTAATGTTGGAATAATAATATTCCTAATATACTAAGTAAAAATACTTTAAGACACAGTGATCCAGGATACAATATAATTTCATACTTAAATTGTTTTAATTGAGCTTTTACCATAATTTAATTTATTTTCTTCTCCTGAGATGATTTTTTTTTTAACCTTGCTGGTATGCCAAGTCTCCATACTTGTAGTTATATACTAGAAAAATAGTTAGATAAATATCACTATTCTTAATATTAGGTAAATGTTACTATATTAGAAATTCTAGAATTTTAACGAATTCGTACCACTTTCTTTAAAGACATTCTACTTCCCTTACAGTACTTCCTTTTGACACCTTTAGAAGGTCCTTCTGAGCTAATTATCAGAAATAGAACTATAACAAGTTGTTTTCTGAAAATAGGTGTTTGCCTTAAATAGGAAAGTCCACAATAAACACAAAGTTTCTAAGCTCTTTCCTTCTAAGAACCTGAAAAGTATTAAAAGGCATGAATTGGGAAGAGGGAGTGCTGCATATTAAATTCAATAATGGCATAAGCATTGCTATATAAATTCAGTGCAGAAATCACAGGTTTAGCAAGTCATAATTAAGTGCAAAAACCTATTCCTAGCTTTGGAAAATTTTCACGAATTTTAAAAACATGAGAGGAGTATCTTCATTTTAGTTAGAGAACATCCCCCTACACTTAAAGTTCCGTTTTCAAGAACTGACTTCTCTCATCAAAGTATCATTTTTGTGAGCACATCCTATATAAGAAAGAAGTTTTAACAGATAATTTCTCTTTTCAAAACAAACCCACCAGGAAGTCTAAATAAGCCCTCAGAAGAAAATATAAACCTAGGATGAAAAGGGAGAACCCAAGTCCAGACTGCTTGGAACTAGAGCTCTATAACTCAGTTTTCCAACGCATTTAAAAATATACAGAGAGCTCTCTGTTGCATTTTTAAAATTGAGCTCTTACACAATAAAATTACATGCCATGCAAGTGAATTAAACAAAATATTGGAAACAAAAATAATCAACTCAAGAGAATTACATATCCAGTTTCATTTCTGAACAATGAACCAAAATATTTTTAAAACGACGCTTTGTTCTTTCTTTCATTATTCACACTTTAACAAATTCTGTAAGACCCAAACTCCTAAGCTTGGCATAAAATCTATCACAAGAAGACACATGTGCTGTAGAGGAATATAAATACAAAATATTTCCCTCTATCACCCAAGCAGCTTTGGACGATTTGCTTTGTGAAATGGAAACAGAATAGATTACCTGATACACAGAGGTAATACCTGTCCTGGACCGAGAACTCAATTTCAATAAACTCGTACAGATTCTGCGAGAGTGGCTTAAATAGTTTCTTCTCCAAGTCCTCCTTTACCAAGGATGACATTTCCTCCAGTTCTACTTGGCCTGCTATCTTGGCTCAAGCTCACTCTTCCTCTCCTTTTGCTTCTAGATGTCTTGTTTGGATTTGCAGCTCCTCGGTGAGTCCTACCCACCTCCCAGCCCTCCCTCTCTCAACTTCTCATGCCCAGCCAGAGCCCAGGCTCCCAGAGCATCTGTGCGGTCAGACCCCTCACTGCAGTATCTGCCCAGTGGCGGCAGCGACAAAGCAGCCAAAATACAGCAGAGGCCCTAGCCCCACTGACAGTCTTCCGCATCCAGCCTCCAGCAGGCTGCTCTCCTGAGCTCTCCTGTGGCTTCTGCTGGGGAAACATACGAATGACCACCAACCGATACCCACAGACCTACTTGTGGAGTTCTCAGGCTATTCCAGCCTCAGTCGCCTTTTCGCCTTTCACAACACTCTGCAGAGAAAGACCACGACTTCAGCTTGATGCCATTATATAAATCAGCTGTCTGGCTCTATTGATCGAGATCATCTTCCATTAAGAAGTTCGCTATCATCGGCCAGAGAAAAGGCATCCTGCTTGCTCCTGACACTTCCAACAAGTCTCTTTTCCTCATCTCGTTCCCCTCCTGCAATGCATTCAGACCTTTGCTTCCATGAGAGTCTGCATCAATCTCTGGGTCTGAACTATTATTATCCTGAATTGGGGTCTCACTCGATTGCCCAGGCTGGAGTGCAGTGGTACAATCATGGCTCACTGCAGCCTTGACCTCCTAGGCTCAAGTGATCTTTCTGCCTCAGCCGCCTGTGTAGCTGAGACTGCAGGCGCCCGCCACCATGTGTGGCTAATTCTTTAAAAAAATTTTTTTATAGAGACGAGGTCTCCCTATGCTGCCTAAGCTGGTTTCAAACGTCTTGGTCTCCGAAAGTGCTGGGATTACAGGTGTGAACCATTGTGCGTGGTCTAAATTATTTTTCAAATGAAAACTTTAGATGGCTCACTTTAATATGATGTATTCCATCTCTCACAAACAAAAATGTGTGAGGTACCTACCGGGGTAAAGCATTACATTGGTTTCTTGGGAGGGTGAATTTTCTAGCCTCGAGGAGCTGATATTCTGAGAGAGATGAGTGCACCGAACAGTTATTAATAGCGTGTAAAAATGATAAATGTCACACAAGAGAGGAAAACACATAATAGAAAAGGTGTTTGTACCTGGAAGGTATCCGAGAAAGGACTAGATCTGGAGTTTGAAGAATGGGAGAAAAGTATATAGGTGGAGGAGGAGAAGCATATGCCATTCCATGGAGTCCAAGTCCTGCATCAATAAAGCACAAGGGGGGTGTGCTATAGTTGGAACGTGTTCCCTCCAAAATTCAGGTGTTGCCAATGTGATAATATTAAGAGGTAGGGCCTTTAAGGGGTGATGAGACCATCAGGGTTCCTCCAACTTGAATGGGATTAAGGTCCCTTATAAAAGAGACTTCACACAGGTCCAGCTGGCTTTCTTTTCTGTCTTTGGCCACGTGAGGACACAGCAATCCTCCCCTCAAAGGGTGCAGCCCTCACCAGACAACTGAACCTGTCGGTGCTTTGATCTTGAACTTCCTAGCCCTGAGAACTATGGGAAATAAATTCCTGTTTCTTATAAATGACCAGTGAGTTTGTGTTTTTGTTGTTTGTTTGTTTTGAGTCAGATTCTTACTCTGTCATCCAGGCTGAAGTGCAGTGGCATGCTCACAACCACCATGCTTGTGACCATATGCTTAGGCAATCCTTCCACCTCAACTTTCCAAGTAACCGGAACTACAGGTGCACCACCATGCCCTGCTATTTTTTATGTATATATAATTGTAGAGACAAGGTCTCTCCAAGTTGCCCAAGCTGGTCTTGAACCCTTGGGCTCAGGCAATCCTCTCTCCTCTGCCTCCCAAAGTGCTGGAATTACAGGCTTGAGTCACTGTGCCCAGCAAGTCTGGTATTTTGTTATAACAGCACAAATGGACTAAGATGGGGTGTTTGGGGGATAGGAAATGGCCCAGCTTTCCTGAATTGTGGAGTATGTGAAGGTCAAAGATTGAAAGATCTGGAGTGCAGTGGCATGATCATGGTCACTCTGGCCTCAACCTCCTAGGCTCAAGTGATCTTTCCGCCTCAGCCTCCTGTGTAGCTGGTATTATAGGTGCATGCCACCATGTGTGGTTAATTTTTTAAATTTTTTTGTAGCAGTGAAGTCTCCCTATGTATGAAACCTCTTTTATAAAGGACCTTAATCCATTCAAGATGGCGGAGACCTCATGGCCTCATCACCCCTTAAAGGCCCCACCACTTTAAGGCTGGAAAGATAGATTGGGGCTAGACCATGAAGGATATTAAAGGCCAGGTTAACCCTTTAGACTTTGGTCTATGAAAGTAGAGAGCCAGTGAAGATTACTGGCATTCATTCATTCATTCATTCAACAGATACTTTTCAAGAATTGACTGTGTGCCAGGCTGTGTTCTAAGAACTGGGGATAGGGCAATGAAAAAAAAAAATAGACCAACTCCTTGTTCTCTGGAGCTCAATGGGGTGGTAGAAAATAAAACACAGCTGTGGTGAGTTCAAGGTGCAACCAGCTGCAAGTAACAGAATGCATGACATAAAAGATATAAATAATCTCATGTAATAAGAAGTCTGCAGGTAGGCAGCCAAGGGTTAGCTCAAGGTACATAGATGAGGGTCCCAAGTGTTTTTCACTCTTCTGATCCTTAGATATTGGCTTTTCTTTTTTTTTGTCTTCATGCTGCGTGGTTTAGATCCAAAGACAGAGAGAAGGGAGGGGAAGTGGTTCTTTCTCATTTCTCTTTTTGTCATGGAAGCAAAATCAGAAGCCAGCAACAGATTTCTCCTTCTCATCTCAGTGGCCATCATTGGGTCATATGGCCATCCCTAGGAAAGCAAGTAGAGTCATTTGGGTAACGATGGTTCCGTCAACATTGAACTACATGCAGGACAGCAGTTCTATAGCATTATAATAAAGGTGAAAAATTCCTACGGCCTAGTGACATCATACTCATTATGTCATAGCCGCCATGACATCAACACATTCACCTTTCCTATGTTTAGCTACACAAGTACTTACAATTGTTTTACAAATGCCTACAGTATTCAGGACAGTCACATACTGCCCATATTTGTAGTCTAGGAGCCATAGAGCCTAGGTGTGCAGTAGGCTAGACCATGTGGGTCTGTGTAGGTACACTCTAGGATGTTCGCACAACCATGTAATCGCCTAATGATGCGTTTCTCAGAGTATATCCTTGTTAAGTGATGTGTGGTTGTATTTGTCATTTTTGGCTGTTATTATGGGAAGTGGGATTTTTCTAATAAAGAAGAAGGGGATGGGAATGACTGTGAGTAGACAACCCACAGTGTGTTCCATGGCTGCTCTAAAAAAAAATTAATGACACGTCTGTGGCTAGGCTGAACTGTAGAGTCCTGGTTGAGACATTTGCCTTTCTGAGCCTCGGTTTCCCCATCTGAAGAATAAGCTCTTCTTTAATATTTGCCTATTCTGTCTGTGATTCTGGGAAACTATTAGAACAATTTGAGTCAGAGGGCCAGAGGATTGGTCCTGTGCTTTTAGATATGGATGTGGACTCAAGGGGATAAATATAAGATATAGCTAGATAATAAAATCAGTGAGCAGTGGCATACAACTGGCTGTGAAGGGGGAAAGTGGAGTTCATATGACACAACTACTTCCCACTTCCATCTAGGAAATGAATAACCAGTCTCACAAGAAGAGAGAGAGGTTTTTAAGGAGAAACTTTTTCCAGATTTTACACTAAGAAAACTATGTCTTGAATGTTTTGGTCTTTGTATGGAGAAAAAAAGGACTCATGACAGAGCAACTCATCAACAATATTGTCATTGACTTTTTCAATGAGATAATTATTTGTACAATGTCGTGTGTCATGTTTTGTTCCCTACAAGACTATAAGTTTCATGAGGACAGGAATCATGTTTTTTCCCGCTCACTATATATCCAGAGCATGTGAGTTTCAGTGTCTGGCACAGAGTGGGTGTTCATGCATTCATCTAGTCGCCCATTAATTTATTTGTAAGTATTTACAAAGGAACAAATAAGTGAGTAAAAAAGTCTTGTCATGACTTAAAAAAAACTTCTTTGCATGGCTGATTTGCAGTGATATATCCTCACAGACGGAATGAACATGTGTTAGTCTCACCAATCACTTATCTTATATCTATATTCATTTGTTTTTATTACCATGAAAATAGGGTCTTTAGTTGTGAGCATCTCAAATACACTTCTAGAGAAATTACTGTAACTTTCTAAGTTCTTAAGAAATGAGTGACCCTGTATTCCAGTATGGTCTTAACACTGAAATTAGAAAACTAAGAATTGACACAGTGACTTTTTAGTTCCATAATGAAATGTTTGCTGTCAATTAAGTGTGTTCACAAACTATTTGCCGTTGATTTGCATATTCTTATCATATAAATTTGTTTGACAGTAATAGGAGAAAAGTTTTAAAAGTGATGTTAAAATGCTAATAAATGTCCTTCTCCAGGTCCTAAATAATTCTATAAGAACAATCTATCAAACACTAATTAAAGGATTCAGAACATTCAACCTTAAAAGAAGTGCAAATGACAAAAGTAGAAATAAGAAAATTTCTTGGAGATCTTAATTTTTTTTGTTAATTACAAAGAATATCCTAGAGCTTTGGAAACCAACATCAAAAGAAGAGGTATAGAAAAATAACAAATCTATGCCAAAAAAGTGTCATTAAGATATTAAGCTTTCCCTGGTGACTGCCAAAGATGGCAGAGGGCCAGGTCCTGGTGCTGGATGACTGAGACCATCTGCTGGGTCCCCTGACTACCATCGTGGTCAAGCAGGTACTGCTGGACCGGAAGGTAGTGGTCATGCACTGCGAGGGCATCAACATTTCTGCCAATCTCTACAGGAACAAGTTAAAATACCAGGCCTTACTCTGCAAACAGATGAACACCAACCTTTCCCGAGGCCCCTACCTTTTCTGGGCCCC